CATCCCTCTGGCCTTCCCTGCCCAGTATTACCCACCCAGAGAGAGCCACCAACCACTTCCATCATGGGCTTGACACAGCCAGCCAGCAGCCCAGGTAACACTGACTTGCCCCCACTGGGCACCATGAAGCGGCTGCCAGGTCAGACTGGTGCAGAGGACACCAGGCCCTCCACACAGGGGTGACTGGCCAGAGGGCTCCCTGCCCCCCCCCCCGGTGATTTTCACTTCTAGAACTGCAAATACACCTGGAAAACAAAATCTCTAGCCCAGAGCCCTTTAATTTGGAAGTAGCCAGGCCTTTCCCAACCTTGAGGAGGTGCTGCCTAATGCCCACATGTGGAATTCACGAGCTGCACTTCTTCCTTCTCTGGAAGACACCTGGAAGGTGTATGAGCCTGAAGCACAGGTCCCACCCTGACTGTGGAGCTTTTAAGAACAAAAAGTGAGTCGTGTCGGTATCGTGTTCCCCAGACAGGATATGATGAGAGGGACACTTCCCTCGCCTCTCTCGTGTCCTTCCCCAAACCACGAGAAAACACCAGACTGACATTCTATAAAACTCCTGGCCAGTACTCTTCCAAAGTATCAAGGTCATGAAAGACAGGGAAAGTCAAAGAAACTGTCCCAGACCAGAGGAGACAAAGAGACGTGACAGCTAAATACAAAGTGGTATCCTGGATGGGATCCTGGGATACAGAGAGGATGTTAGTGAGGAAACTGGTGAAATCTGAATAACTGTAGTTTAGCTCATAGTATAGTACTAATGGTAATTTTTTTGTATTAATCAAGTTACCATGGCTACATAAAATGTTAACATTGGGGAAAGGTAGGTGAAGGGTTTTTTGGACCCCTCTGTACTATTTCTGCAACTCTATATAAACCTAAAATTATTGCAAAATAAAAAGTTAAAAATAAAACAATTTTAAAAAATGCTTGACCCCCCCCATTCGAACCAATTCAATCAGAATCTTGAGCATTTGAAGCTCTCCAGGGATTCCAACATGCAGGTAGAGCAGACAACCACAGATCAGTGATTTCAAAGGTGAGTATGTGTATCAGAATCCCCTGGGGGGCTTATTAAAACAGATCGTGGACCTCACTCCCGAGTTTCTGATTCAGTGAGTCTGGAGTGGCCTGAGAACTTGCATTTTTAAGAAGTTCCCAGGTGATGCACGCGCTGCTGGTCCTGGGACCACCCCTTCAGAACCACTGATTTAGATCCTTGCAACTTAAAATGTGGTCCTGGGACCAGCAGCATCAGGCACCACCCCAGACTCATGGAGTCATAATCTGTGGTTTAACAAGATCCCAGGTTATTCGTTTGTGTGTGAACATTTGAGAGCCACAGCTCTAAGAATGAACATGCACAGAGTGGGGATGAGGCAATAGGAGTTGAAATGGCAGGGGCCGGGGTGGCTTGACATACATCATTTCACCTGTCATAAGAGCCTATCCTTTCCTCTCGCACTCAGGAGAGAGAAAAATAGGAAAAAACATTAGAGTGCAACAATCAAGCCAAAGGCAGCACTAGGCAGAAAGAGGCTTAGTGGCCTGGCTGACAGTAGGAGCTGAGGGAGACTCCACAGGAGCCCCATAAACCAGCCAGGAGGCACTGACCACGGGGAAAACGTACACAGCAGCTCCAACCCAGGGTTCAACATTCACTCTCCGGGGGCTGATCCCATCCCTCCCTTCTATGCAGCTTTATAACAGGCTTTGTGTTGGGCTAGGGCTCACACACCCTTTAAACCCATTGTACAGTCTGGGTTACCAGACCTCTCCTGTGCCAGCCGGGTCACAGACCTCTCACATACAGGTTGCAAGCTAGGTAACTGGGAAGACTGACAGACGACAATCCAGGAGCTGTTGACAGAGTTGACAAGTTCATTCCAATGTGAGCTCAGTCCTCAGCTTCCACAGCAGCTGCAGTGGCCTCCCAGGGGCCCTGGCAGCAGCAACAGCCTCCAGCAGCAGAAGCAGCGCCCCCGCCCAGGCCCTTCCGGGGCATCCCAGGGACAGGGGGCACTATGGATCAAAGCTGCTCATCCTTTATACTTAAGTCCAATAACTCAGGACACCTGGGTGGAGTCAGACACCCAAAGAACACCCGGGCGCACATGTGCAAGTACATTTACATCAAACAGGCGAGGTGATGCTCGGCAAGATTCCGAACATCTGCGGGATCCTGACCATTCACTTTCACTTTCCCTACACTTTGCTTCACAGGAAGGAAGGAGTTGGGGAGAGAGAAAGAGGAGGCAACAAGGAGAAGGAAGGAGAAAAAGGGAAGAAAAGGAAGAAGGGGAAAAGGAAAAGAAGAGCAGAGGCTTTTTGCACAAATGGCTCTTTACCAAACTTGACTTTAACCAGAATTTTTGCAGACTTAAGGCTTGAGGAGGTGAGCCTCCCACACTTCCCCCTTGGGCCAGTTACCACCAGCGGTGACACCAGGTTACCTGGTGATTACCAGGTTAATTATGGGCACTCCTGATCCAGCCCATCATGGCTCCATCATGCCAGGCTGCCGGCTACGCGCCACTCCGGGGTTTTGTTCATCCTGTCAAGATCGTACCCAATCACCACCTCCCAACTTAGATCCCGGCTCCTCATGGCTACCCCTTTCCTGATTGCTTAAGGCTGAAGGGTCACTCTGCACTGCTCCACTGAAGTCTCTCCTCATATTTGCCTCACTGAGGGTCATTCCACACCTCCCCGGAAATCCCACTCCCCAGGATTTACGTCATGCCTCTGGGAGTCTCTTTTGTTTTCTGGGAAGTCGTCAGATGCTCACCTTTTTGGAGCCCTGCAGTTGTGGCAGGAGGGCCCCGGGCAGCCTGTTGTGCTGAAACAAAGCATCTTGGATGTTGGCAGTGGGCTAGGAACACCACAGAAATTAAACTGACGATCAAACAAGGCAGCACCTCATGGGGATGGGCACATGTGCAGCTTTTTAAATACACAGATTTCAACATCCCAGAAAATAGTTAAGTATGTTGTGATGCTAAATGTTTGCATGCTTCTCAAGCACATTGCTATTAGCCAGTACATCTATACTTACTACATGCTGGGCACATATCTGAGAGCCTCTAGGCTAAACGGGCCACAGAGTCAGAATTCCTCTTCCCTCCACCTAAGAAGGGGGTAAGAGCCAAGTTGCCTAAATCAACAAAGCCAACACCCAAATGAAATAAGTATCCAAGTGTTAAAAGAGAAAACATCCTACAAAGCAAGCTAATGGTGTCTTCCTGACATTGTCACTGCTGCGGGGAAAAAGTTGCAGGATTTTATTGGAAAGCACCAAACCCAAATCAATCACCACCCTCATGGCAAGTTCCCCGGGAGAGAAAAGGGATCAGGGTGAAGGTTCTGTATAGAAGCTCCCTTGGGTTCTCTCTGAACCACACAATGAGGCCTAGGAGAGTGTTCTCCTTTGGATCTGGGCTCCAGAGTTGACTCCACCCAGGCTAAGCAAGGCCCAGGCCAGCAGTCAATCGATAAAGGCACATCTCAGCCCAAGTACAGGACAAGAACACACCAGAGGGCTGTTATATAATAAAAGATTTTTTAGGTCTTATCCTGATTCCTGTCCCTTTCTCCCAGTTCCTGTAAATCCTTGGATTTTCCCAAGCGATGGAGTGTTTTTGTTGTTCGTGGTCTGTCCCTTGGGTCCCACCTGCATTCACACTAACTAGAGGACTCTGGATGGGGGCGTTACCAGCCCAACCTCCTCTGGGGAGAGAAGGGGGTTGGAGCCTGAGTTCATTCCTGTGGCCCATGATCCCATCATCATGCCTATGTAATGAAACCCAATAAAAGCTCTGGACGCTGAAGCCTGATGAGCACACTGATGTGCCGAGAGGGTGACATACCCCTCTTCCACGAGGAGAGGACATGTACGCTCTGTGTCCAGGACCCCCCCAGACCTCGCCTTACGTGTCTGTTCATTTGGCTGGTCCTGTGTTGTATCCTTTGTAATAAAACTGTAATCACAAGTATAAAGCTTTCCTGAGTTCTGTAATAAGTCATTCTAGCAACTTATTGAACATGAGGGGGTTATGGGAACCCTCGAATTTATAGTCAGTTGATCAGAAGTACAGGTAGTCTGGGGAACCCCAAAACTGCAGCTTGTATCTGAAGTGAGGACAGTCTTATGGGGGACCTGTGCCCTTGAGCCTGTGGAGTCTGCACTAACTCCAGGTGGCTAGAGCCAGAACGCACTGCAGTATTGTAGTGATCCAGGTCCGTCCTGTCTTAGGCCCTGGGGAAGACACTGGACTCCATTTGCATTTCCCGGGCTTTTTGTCTCCTTTACCCATCTACTCCCTCTCCCTCCCCGCAAAATCCAATTTCCTATGAAATCAGGGCATTTGAGAGACTCAACTCAGGCACATAAGACAGCCCAAGGAGCAAGTGTAATCCATATCTACAACACTGTGGAATAAAAAACAAAGCATAGGCCGTCATTCAGCAGCTGTGTGATCACAGGCAAACTACTAGCCCCCTCTGAGCCTCGGTTCCCACCTCTGTAAGATGAGGCTAATAGCCTCTCCCTTGTAGAGCTGATGGGACAGTTCAATGATGTCACACATTTACAGAGCCTAGCGTGGCCCCTCACACATGGACGGCACTCGATAAACATCAGCCTCCTCCCGTCCTATTTTCAAACTGCCCTGTACTCCAGCTCTCCTTGCTCTGCTCTCCCTGGATAACTGTGCTGGGTGCTGGGCCCACTGGCAAGGTGCCAATGTTTCAGATCCCAGGGCAGCGGGAAGCCAACTGTTATACCAAAAGTGAAAAGTAACCATTACCTTGAACAGAAAGGACATTTATGTTTACTTCAGTGGCTATAAAAGACACCATAAAATATAATATGCAGCATGCATCCTCATGATTAATAACAGATATTGCAAATTATTCTCTCAAGTCCCGGGGTGCATCCAACTGGTCACTAAGAACAATTAATTCTTTCAGGAAACAAAAGGATTGCAAATCATCTCTGGTCATCAGAAAATCTGCTCATTGTATTATAAATAAAGAGAACAGAAAATGAGTCTCAAGTTCAAGGTTTTTCTACCCCTGTGAATGGGGTAAAGTAAGACGGGACAGACTCCAATATAATTACTGTCTGTGAGCACGGGTATTCAGGGAGAGTTAGGACCTGCTAAATCTGGGATCTTGAGGACCTGGAGACCACGCAGACACAGCAGTTAGAGCAGGAGTTTGAGGATGTCCCAGACACAGGAGCAGATGACAGAGTTGGGGGAGGGGCAGCGCTGGCAGCAGGCAATAGGGAAGAAGAGTTCAGACAGATGACACAGGCCCCACAGTGGAAACCCAGCCACAGTGACTGAGGTTTCAGCAACAGGACAAAAGTCTCCATAAGGACAGGGGAACCACGTAGAATCCCGGGCCTGAAACTGGGGTCACTGAATGAGAACCAAAGGGGTAAGTCAGGAAACAATCAGTAGAATAAAGCCGTTGCCCAGGTCACAGGAAATGAGCTGAGAACCCAGGGGAACCGAAGTCTGAGGTTGCAGCTGAGCCTCTGAGTTCCTGGCCGAGGGCTCCCTTAACTCCTGCAGCCAAGGTCTAAGAGTCCTGGAGTGGCCTACTGGGTGGAAGGAAAACAGGGGCAAGAAGCCAACCAGAAGATCATATTGACACTCAGCGTTCAGGTCCACTCTTCCCTCATGGCCAGTGTGGGTTCACTCCCAATCTAGAATAAAGAGCCCACCAACCAAGCCCTGGCCTTATTCCCCCTAGATCTTCCTGGAAAACCCCAAGAAAGCAGCAACCAAAAGCAACTGTGAGCCCTTGGCAGGGATCATGGCACACTCTGGATGGGCATGTGGTTGGGTGAGACTGTGGGCCAGTGAGTTAGGATGGACACACCCTGCAAACTTGAAGGGGTTTTTTATTGAAACACAGTATATAAAACACCAAAGGGTCACCATGACAGCAGTGAACTTATGGCTGAAACTGAGTCTACCCTCAGATGCCAAACCACCTTGCTCAGGTGTGACACCTCTGGGGAGTGGTATGGCAAGGGTAGGAGTTCAGAGACAGTGCTCACCTCCAACAAAATCAAACTTCCAATGACTTAATGTGCCCTCATTAAGTGGCCCATGTGGTCCATCCTGACAATAGAGAGGGTACACAGAAGTGAGGGGACATTCAACCCAATGGCACACACCAGGAGCGGGAAAGTCGGCTGCTGTGTCTTCTCCTTGGAGAAGGAGAGAAGGCCATTCCATGGTGCAGCTTGTGGGCCCTGAGACAAGGGCCACAGTATGAGACAGAATTCCAAAGGTAGAGTATAGTGGTGCCACGGACAATGGCCTTGGGGCTGCAGACAACCATGTGGCAGAAACAGGACAACTGGGTAGCAACAGGGCCAAACACTGAGGAGTGAAAAGACACCAGAAAGGAGCAAGGGACAGCAAGTCCACTCAGTGCGGGGTAGGAAACAACCAGCAAAGCAGGGCCAACAACCGGCTGGCCAGCCTCAGCCCCTGCACACGCAGGATGAGTTCATGAAGGCTGATCTGCAATAAGTGGAAGGCCTCGCAGAAGGAGATCTGGGTCCTTCTGAAGAACGAACAGGTATTCCTCTTCCTGTGCCTGAAGGAGGGGCGAGAAGGAAGGAGAGATAAAGAGGCAAGAAACACTAGCTCGGTGTCATTTAGAAAAACAGAAGATGGTGGCTTTAGCCAACTCACCAGCTCCCTGCCCTGGGGACTACTCTTGGTCACATGATCATACCACTGCCCAATCAGGGACCAGAGAAACTCAAATATTCCAAAGAAGTTTTTCAAATAAGTGAGGTAAACAAAAGCAGTAGTTTCACGGGGCATCAAATGTCTGAAAACCCCAATGGGTAGAACATTCCAATGTTTATTTATACCAAAGTATAGTAAATATATGCCATTCCAGACTTTCTGAGGATAAGAATCACTTGGAAACCTGGTCAGGTGGTCCAGGGAGGCTGAGGCCATTATGGATTCAGTTCAGCCCCATCCCTTCTACACCAACAAAAGGACATGATGAAAATTGGTGTTTATGATGATGACCTATTCAAAACTTCATTTCCTGAATCCTCAGAGGAATAAATCATAGTCAGACCTTTCAGCATTCAGTATATATTGCTGTAAACTAATTTGATATTTGATAGTGGGCACCTGATATTTGTGGTCAGATCTCCTTTCAATAGGTAGTTTCCCAGAATGGTCCATTCCCTGTCTAGGATGGATGCACTGGGAGCTGGCCACAATCTAGGCCTCCTCTTGGGTGATAACATTTCGTCACAGCATGGCCCTTCCAATGTATTTGCCATACTCAGTTGAGGGGCCTAGAAACTTGCTCCTGTGGACCTATCCCCATGAGGAAGCATATATCTCTTCCTCATTAATACCGCAAGGGTGCTGAGGCATCTAAAAAGATCTGAGAGGGGCCGGCCCGTGGCTCACTTGGGAGAGTGTGGTGCTGATAACACCAAGGCCACGGGTTCGGATCCCTATATAGGGATGGCCGGTTAGCTCACTTGGGAGAGCGTGGTGCTGACAACACCAAGTCAAGGGTTAAGATCCCCTTATCAGTCATCTTTTAAAACTAAAAAAATAAAATAAAAATAAAAAGATCTGAGATCCCAAGAGGGCCTGCTGGCCACACTTTCCTGAGTCACAGTCACACTTGCAGGAGAAAGAACAGAGGTCTACTGGCTGGCCGACCGAGGAAGCTGAGTTCCAAGACCAGGTAGAGATGGAATACACATCCGGGCTTTCTGGCCCTAAGCACAGGGGACACTTGGATGGGGCTGAGACTCTTGGAAAACATTTCAAGCTTTACTAAGAGCAAGAATTGCCTGGAAGGCTGCATTGGGAGGCTGAGGTCCTAAAATCCACGATTTAACAAGTACAAGTGGTTCTATGGACCTCCCCAAAACACTGCCCCAAGGCATCAGGGAGTTCCCTGGAGCCGTTTTCTGCACCCAAATTTTCCTGCAGGCAGATCTGGAGATTGAGAAGCTCATGCAGGGCCCTGTGGAAGGGCGGAGAAAAGTGGAGGTAAGCGGGACCCCTGGGCAGGCAGGGAGTTGGGAAAGGAGGAGAGGCAGGAGCCACACGTACTCAGCCAGCGCTCGGATGCAGCACCGTGACATGTTGAGGAAGGAGCTGGCACTGGCGCGGGTGCCCAGGGCGACCTCGATGCCACGCAGCAGGTCATTGGTCTTGAAGATAAGCAGCATCTGCCGTGGCACATGGTTGAGGAGCTGGCTAATCTGGGGGAGGTAGTTGGCTGCGTTGTTGCGGATCTCCAAGTCCTGAGCAGCAACAGGGAAACAGAAATGGATGGACGGAGTGTGAAGTGAGGCCCAGGCTGGCAAGGGTCTGGGCAGCCTGTGTGCCCCAAGGGGCTGCAGAAGAGCTCCAGGGGGGATCTTCTAGCACAGCTGCCTTGGCACCACTAGAAGCACTCCCCAAAGAGAAGTCTAGCACAAGGGGCTTTGCAGCCTGACAAACCTGGATGGCATGTCTCAGCCCACAGGAGCACATCAAGACAGTCTGGGTTACTCTCCAAGGTTTCTTCAGTAACCACCAATTTCAGACCAGGCCGGGAAGGAGCCCTGTAAGCTGATAGCAGCTGAGTCATGTCCCCCTCCCCTCCCGCCAAGCCCAGGCTGATAGAGTTCATAGGTCTGAGCTCCTGAGCCCAACCCAACTCCAAAGTCCTGCTCCATACCCTGCATCCCACCAGACCCCTGTTGCCTACACTGCCATTGCTTGTCACTGTTCTCCACGCTGGAGCCAGTCTCATCCCACCCACTCCCCAAGGTCTTGATGCCCCCAGAGCAGGAGCCAGGGCTGGCCCTTGATACTGGTCATCCCATAGCCCTTGCCCCATCTGGTGCTTAAGTTTGGGGTCTGGCTTCCCTCCCTTCTCTGTCCCTGAGCTCCGCACAGCTCCAGGCAAAAGGAGCCCCCAGCCAGAATTCTGAGCATGATAGTGTGGCTCTGACCCCTTTTTAGTCCCCAGAAAAATGCTGCTGCTGCTGCTGATGATGGTGATGGTGGTGGTGGTGGAGGTGACAATGATGATGATAGCCAACATGTACTGAGCATTTATTAAGTCAGGCAGGCACTTTGAAAATGCTTGCCTGTATTAATTTATTTAATCTTTACAACAAAGCATGATAGTGTGGCTCTGACCCCTTCTTAGTCCCCAGAAAAATGCTGCTGCTGCTGCTGATGATGGTGATGGTGGTGGTGGTGGTGGTGGTGGTGGTGGTGGTGGTGGTGGTGGTGGTGGTGGTGGTGGTGGTGGTGGTGGTGACAATGATGATGATAGCCAACATGTACTGAGCATTTATTAAGTCAGGCAGGCACTTTGAAAATGCTTGCCTGTATTAATTTATTTAATCTTTACAACAACCCTATCAGGTTGAGTATTACCCCCATTTAAGATGAGGAAACTGAGGCACTGAGAAGTTAAGTAACCTGCCGAAGGTCCCCAGCTAGAAAGTGGTGAGTCGGGATTTAAACCCAGGCAGTCCAGCTCCCAAGCCTGTGTCCTCACCACATGGGTACACTGCCTCTCCACCTCACCGCAGGGCTGCGTGGCCCTAAGTGCTTTTACTTTTCTCAACTCAGTTTCCTCACCCAAAAATGGGAATGCTGATACCCTCTGTGCCCACCACCCAGCAGCGCCAAGAGGGTCCTCAGAGACAAGGGATGAGGAAGCGCTCAGTGCCAATCAAAGTCATAACAAGGCACCCGACAGTGCTGCCAAAAGGTTTTACCACCCGGCTGCTTTCTGCAGCAGCAGCAGAACTTGCAGTCCTTTCAGGAGCACATGTGCGTGGCTGATAACCAAGTGGCTGGGAAACTTGAAATGTCCCTCAGGCAGGAGCTATCAGACCGGAACATCTCAACATGAAGCCAGACACCAAGAGGCTGTCTGCTGCCACAGCTGCAGGTCAACCTGCCTGAGGGCTAGGCCAGACCAAGGCCCAGCTCACCACAGGGACCCCCCTCAGCAAAGTCAGGAGTACCTGGTGACAGCCCTTCTCACCCAAAACAAAACACACCTTCCCCACCCAAACAACTTCCCCAGGGCACCTCTCAGAGCAGCTAAGCCTTGAAGCTTAGACACATCTTGATCAGGTGTGTCTGCAGTAGACCCTGTTGGGTGCCTAGCTGACAGCCATTCCCCCCATTCTCCTTTGTTAAAAGAACCCAAATTTTGTTCACTTGACCCCTGGAGTCATGCTCTTCCAGACTCCCTAGCCCAAGGACAGAGTCTTAGTGATCTCAGCCCCTTGCCACAAGATTGGTTTAGGCGTGGACATATGACCTGATGCTGGCCAGCGAGACATGAGGAGGCTGTTGAGACTTCCAGGAAAGGTTTTCTTGCTCTTTAGAAATAAGAGAAAAAACAGCCCCTCATACCTGCCTCTGGTTGGCACTGAATGAAGATGTAAAGCTTGGAACCACTGCAGTTATCTTGGAATCATGACAAAAAGCCAAGAGAATCATGAGCGTGAGCCCAGGGTCTGGGTCTATTGATCTGCTGAATTAACCAACCTGGACCACCCACCTCCAGGTTCCTTGTGGTGGAGAGAACAAACTTACTCTTCAAGCCACGTTAATTGGGGAAAACATCCTCCCTGATACAACGTTGGTGGCTCCCCTAATTCTCAGCGAGAGCAGGGCTCAGAAAGAGCTGTTAGATCTCAGAGACTGGGCTGGCCTGGAGTGGCCAAGTTTACTCTCTGTCTGGGCTCCTGTCCACAGTGAGCAGACAAATAACTACTCTGCAAGGGACTATGATGTACTTGCCCCAAGTATTAGAATGACTTTCAGCAAGGGTGGTGAGGAGAAGCTTCCCGGAGAAAAGACTTCTTCAAAGCACTGGCATTCAAAGTGGGTCTTTATGAATGAATAAGAATGCAAAAACAAAATTTTTAGTCAATAAAAACAGATATCATATTCTGAATACCTACTCTGTGCCTTGTGACCTCATCTAGCCCTGTGGCTTTAAATACCATCTATATGCTGAGGACTCCCAAATTTATGTCTCGAGCCTGGACCTCTTCTCTGAACTCTGGTCTCAACTGCCCAAGACATCTCTATCTGCTCAAGAGAACTGGTAACTACCTCCCCCCAAATATGTCCTTCCGAAAATCTTCCCTATATCAGGAAGTGGCACCATTCCCCAGCCTATTACTCACCCCTAAAGCTATGATGCAACCTTGACTCCTCCCTTTTCCTCCTCTCCACATCCAAGCCTACAGAGAGCCCTCTCAATCTCACCTCCAAAATACACCTTGGCTCTGTCTGCTTCTCTCCACCACCACCACCCCAGCATAGTCTGAGCTCCTGGCATCTCTCGACCTGGAGTCCCGACCCAGCTTCCTACACGATCACCAACTGCTTCTCACCCTGCTCCAGAGAGACACAAATATAGCAAGTCTGAGCATCTCCCTCTCCTGCTTAAAGCCTGTCAAAGGCTTTGCTTTGTACTGAGAATTAGTCTGAACTTCTGTCTGTGGCTTATAAAGCCCTGAGTGAGGCTCTCCCCACCCAGCACACTCCACGTTCTTCTTTCTCATTCCAACACCCTCTTCACCACACTCCAGACCACACCAAACTCCTTTCCCCTAGGCCCTAGCGTGCCTGGAATCTGTCTTCAAGCTCTTCCTGTGGCTACCGCCTTTCTTGTCCTTTGGGCCTCAGCTTAAATGTCCATTTCCCGGTGAGGTCTTCTCTGAGCACCAACCGCTCCCCAAACACAGACCACCACAGCACTCCGCTTGTTTCCTCTATGGTACCTATAACCTGCCATGATTCCACCTACCTGTCCATTCACTTGTTTACTGTCTGTCTCTCTCAACCAAAGTGCAAACTAAACAAAAGGCCTGTCCGTCTGTTCATCACAGGATCCTCAGCGCCTGGCCCGGGCTCCAGCAAAAACAAGTGTTTATTGAATGAATGAAATTCAGGAACCATGGGCAAGCACTTTACATGCATTATCAATAAAGCAGAAATTATCACCCCTATTTTTCAAAGGAGGGAGATTGTCTCTCTTCATCTGAGATGACAAGCTTTAAGGCTATGGAAGCCTGGAGCAGCTGGTGGTCACCATTGCCACCAAGCTTGCTGAAGAATGATGTCAACTTGGAGGAAAGTGGAGCCAAGAGATGACATCATTTGAGAATCTGGATCCAGCCATTCCTAAAGCCACCTACCACAAAGCAGCTTACAGGGGAGAACCCTGAAGCTCAAAGAGATGACAAGAACCACCCAAGGTCACACTACTAGGCAGACGAGGTGCTGGAACAGAGCCCAGGGCTTTCTGAATGCACAAGCAAGACACTGTCCCTTACAGTGAGCATGGTCCTCAGCTGGAGCTCGAGTCTGTCCATCCACCACCTGGATACAGGCAAGTCTGGATGGATTTGGCAAACTGACAAGGAAGATGGAAGTCAGTTCCTTGAGGGATGGAGAAGCCTCCTGAAGGAAGCTGCCCTGAGCCAGAAAGAATGAGCTCGCCCCAGCAGGCCTCCATCATAGGAGCGGAGGTGGGTGCAAGTATGAGAAGAGGTGTTTCCAGGATCTGTCTCCCAGCCCAGACTCCATGGGCCCCTTTCTAGGTCCAGTGGAGAAATGAGCTACAAAAAAAGACAAAACAAAGCTGTTTCACTGAAGCATCTGGAGGACATGGGATGAGGAGAACTACTTGCATACTGCATGAGGAGGTGAAGGACTCTCCCCAGCATGGTGCCTTAGAAGGACCGTGCAACGGGAGATGGTGCCTTTGAAGGACTGTGCAATGGGAGATGGTGCCTTAGAAGGACCGCGTAATGGGAGATGGTGCCTTAGAAGGACTGTGCAATGGGAGACAATGCCAGGCAGGAGACAGCCAAAGTGTTGCCAGACCTATTTACAAGATGGTCCCTGAGGATTCCCACAGTCCTGGGGCAGAACTTGGAGGAAGCTTGGAATCTTGTGTGAGCAGGCTGGAGCTAAAGCCACAGAAGTCTGGGTTATTACATCAACATGACCTTGTTCCTACTCCAGACTGAGAAGGCTTGGAGGGGACACAGTTGGAAATCATCCCTTTCTCCCCTTCCATCCAGGGGCATCCTCCTCACCTCCCTCCACCTCACCTAAGAGAGCTCCAATTCTGCCCCTCCCCCTACACACACAACCCACCAGTCTACAATCTCAGACCCTGGTTGGACAGGGTCCACAGGCCATCCCTGGCCCTGTGCCTTGCATTTGGGAGAAGGCAGGGCTTGGATGGGACCACCTACCTCAGTGGCAGTGACCGGAGCTTGGCTGATGCCCCTGTTGACCGAGTCCCATGAGCGGGCCGTCAGCATGCAGGCAAACAAGGGATAGAGCTCCCCGGCCCCCAGGCGCTGGCTGTACTTCTTCACCCTCTTCATGTCAGCCTGGATCAGAGACTGCCAGAGTTGGCAGTAGTCCAGGCGGAACTTCTCCGTGAGCACCTGCGGTGGGGACAGCAGTGGCTGCACCTGAGCCTCCTCTCCCCACCAAAGACCTAAGTCCCTGGCTGGCATGGACCACTGCAAAGGGGGACAATGAGGACTGTGGCTCCCCATGATGTCTGCTTCTCCCCCAAAGTTCAGCCATCCCTGAAGGTCCAAGTTCAAAGCCACTATCTGGCAAGCCTTGGTCCTGAGTGGCAGAGACACCTAGCTGCCCATCAACATCTATATTCTCCTCTTCTTCCCAGTATGGGCTACTTTCTCAGCCTCCCTCAAAGTTAGATGTGTCCCTCTTCCTGAGTTCTGACCAATGGAAAGTGGCAGAAGCTCCGCTTCCAGGTCTGGCCCACAGAAACCTTCCTGTGGATGCTCCTCCAAGCCCTCCCACCTGGGGCTGGCCAATAGCACCATCACCTCCAAGGAGGGCCAGGCAGCAGAGCCCTGCAGACTCCTCCACCCACTCAAGACTAGCACATGAGCAAGCAATCAAACCTCTGTGTGTCTGGGCCATCATTCATTTGGGGCCTACATGTGACAACAGCTAGTGGACCTTAAACTAATGTATCCTACTTTATCGAGCCTTTCAGAGAAGGCCAAGATTTCAGGATGTGGGATCAGAGCCCTGAGGGAAGGAGTGGAAGACAACTGGGGAAACCTCCCCAGGACCATCTGAGTCATGGAATCAAACCAAGCATTGGATCTCAGATGGGCAGCGAACTCCCCAACTTTCAGGTAAAAGCTCATGGCTAATTCAAACCAGGTCTGCATCCCAAGTTCCAGAGGACAGAGTCTGGGACCATCCAGCTCCTATCAGCTATCTGTCCCCTTTCGAACCACTTATTACATCCTCACTGAGGCTGAGCATGCAGTCACCCTCTCCCCCTGAAGCCTCAGCTCATGCAACAGACAGTTCACTTCCCAGAGTCTGGACTGACCTGGGGTTCCCCGGGAAGGCACAATCACATATACAAGCATATTTCCATTTACTTCACATGACAGCCTATAAAGGAGGTGTTATCAACCTCACATGACTGAGGAGAAAGCTGAAGCTCTGAGAGTTCTTATGACAGTGACTTGCATAAAACAACAGCTCTTGGGGAAGGGCAAGGCCCTCTCCAGCTAACTTGGCTATCTGCCTCCCGTTTCTGCAGCCCATTAGGGAGGTTAAAATGCTCTAATCCCAGAGACCACGGGGCTGGGAGGGAAAGGCCTCTTCTACCTGGTAGAGTCCGTGGTCCAACAGGATAATCTCTGCCTTTCCCGTGCCCGGCTGCTTCCGCACCAGCACATTGCCCGGGTGGGGGTCGCAGTGCACGAAGCCGTTGACAAAGATCATCTCACTGTATATCTTGCCCAGGTGGCGTGAGATCTGAAAGAAAAGGAAGGCAGGTCGGAGTTCCACTCCATTCACACCTGTTTCAAGGACTTCTACTCTGGTCCTTCAATCTGGTCATTTTCTAGAGACCAGAGGGACAGGGTGGGCCTCAGCAGTCATGGTGGTCGTGATGGTTTGAGATGCTGCAGTTCTTGAGTTTAAAATAGAACTTAGCTTGAATACAGTCCTTCTCACCTTAGCTGCACATTAGAATCACCTGGAATTCAGAAACAATGTGGGTGGTACTAGGCATCAGTATTTTTTAAAGTCCCCAAGGTGATGCTAATGTACAGTCAGGTAGGAGAATCACTGCTTCTACTTTTTCCGATGGCTGTAACTCTCCTCCCACACCCACCCCTCCACTCTTCCCCCATTTCTCTCTTCCCTACACTCTTATCAGTCCCTCTTCATTTCTCCCCCAAAGCTGAGAATGGGCTAAAGAGCTGCATTGGTGCAGGGTAGGGCATCATTCCACCCAATGCTTCTGCAAAGAACAGGGTTAGGGGGCTGAGGATCAGGAATAGGTGAGCCCACCAATATCCTCTTGGGCTGCCCCACTGGCTCCAGGCCAGTCCCAGGCAGACCCTTCTCCTTTCCCCCTACTTCCCTCCCTGACAAATCTCAATGCTAATCTGATTTATGATGTCTGCACAGAAGAAATGACACTGGAGAGGCCATTTAAATCATCCTGTCACTGCTAGTGTCCCTGCTGAGGCAGTCTTCTTATCTCTACTCCCTTTTCTATTAAATCTAAAAGTCTCTTCCCAGCTAGGGAACAGCCGCTGGATAGAGCCAGACCTGGGACCATAGACGGTCTGTTGATGGTTTCCAGGAGACAGAGATGCTCAACCGAGAAAGCTGACACCCCGGGACACCTGCTGCGCCCTTGGCATTCTTCTCAGCCTCAGCTGGACCTGGTGGTCATTAACAAACACATCCCAGCCAGAGGAGAGAAGATGGGGCCCATGGGGTGGGGAACACAGGATTATGATCTTAAGGTAAATACTCCTTTCCTCAGCCTACAAAGTCCTGCATGACTAGGCCCTGACTCCCCCCCGGCCTTACCTTGCACCACCCTGACACACCAACTACATTCACCCTTTCTTTTCTCCAGTGATCCCTATACTTTCCTGCCTCAGGGCTTTTACACATGCTATTCCCTCTGCCAGGAGCACCCTGCCATCTCCCCTTCACTTGGTTCATTCCCTCTCTTCCCTCCCACCACAGGGCGGCATCACCTCCCTGGGAAGCATTCTCTGACCTCCCGGGCTCCATGAGGTTCTCTGGCCATACACCCCATGGGACGCCATGCTTTTCTTTCATGGCACTAGCACACTATTTGTGTGATTATTTGATTAATGACCATCTAGCCCAGTATCACAAACTGCCAAGATAGCAGGGACTGGCTCTGTTTTATCAAACAGCTTTATTGAGGTATAATTTATGTACCTTAGACTGGCTCTGTTATGCATGTCCTTGCTTGTAACAGTGCCAAACATGTGAATGTAAGAGGGCATTCAGTGTGAGTGAGACCCTCGTCTCTCCAAGTTTTTATGAGATGCTGTGGTTCCTGCCTCTAAAGCTTAACCTACCCCATTTATCTCCTGAATCCCAATCAATTATAATTGGCTCCAAATTCAATCATCAAGAATAACCCTGCTTTGGTAACAATAGCTGACATCCTTATTAACAGCCCTAAAGATAGGTACAATTATGATTACCAATTTTGCAGATGAGGAACAGAGACTCACAGAAGTATAACTTACCCACAGAAAGAGATAGAGCCAGGGTTCAAACCAGGTATGACCCCCAGCCTTCTAGTACCTGCCATTCTATGGCTCACACCTGCTGCTGCACTTCCCAATGGAGCTTTGTGACCTTAAACAACTTGCTTATACTCTCAGCTTCAGTAAAATGGAAATAATAATAGAGCTGCTCTCAAGGTTTACTGTAGGGTAAATGAGCATGTCACAGTACGTGTGACCAAGTGAACTCTCTCAGGTGCCCCTGTTGTTGTTACTGATTCCTCATACCACTCCTGGGAGGTTGGCAGCTGAGGTTTCATTGTACCTTTTTAAGACATGAAGACACTTAAAACATTGTGACCTGCTATAGCACCAGCTCTCCGGCTCCTGCCATTTTCCTCGGGTGACACAGACATCACAGTACTCAGTGCCTGTTCACATTAGGAACAGGATTTTGCCCCTGGTCAAGTTCTCAGACTCAGGCTGAGATGCTGGCTGTCCCAGGGCCACCATTTCCTGTTTCCCAGAGAGGGCCCCAGCCAAAGTGGGTCCTGGATGAGCCAGCAAGTCCACACCTCTGTGCCACCAAGAACCCTTTTTGTTAGGCTCTTTGGAGCTCTGTGGAGCCATGCTTTGAAAGGCTGTATCTGCCAAACCAATTGCATTTATTAAGTAATCATTCATTTTTATTTGTCAAGGATGCATATAAGATCCAATCAGGGCTCCTGATCAGCCAAGATAAGCAGCACAGCCAGACTGAGCTGACGGAATTCTAGCCAGAAAGTAGAGAAATGACATTTCATTTAGTCTGGGCAGACCTGTCATGGGGAGATGTACGATCTCCCTTAAGCTTTCTGAAATATTGCTAATCATTCTGGGTCCCCTATTACTACACTGAAAGATGCCCCTTAGGGGTCTGGGGACTCAGGATGGGGGAGGAAGGAGCCTTGCCCTGGGGAGTGGGCTGCTGCTGCTGGAGGAGGAGAAAGAGGGGGCGCTACCAACTGCTGCTGACACACAGGTGCAGAGCCCCTGGGCAGTCCTCCCATTTCAGCACCACAGTCCAGCCGCCTCCCCCCAAGGTGTCTCTCCATTTGGGGGCTGCTCTTGATGTTCATTTTAGCCAGATTTCCCCTGGATAGACAGGTGTAAAAAAGGCAGAGACAGGAGGGGGAGCCAGCCTATGTCAATGGCTCCACTCTGGAGCCATCTCGGTTCCGCCAAGTTGGGAAAATATAGGAAAATGGTCAGGACCCCTCAGATGTTCAGAATCTTGCCGAGCATTTGATGTAAATATGCATGTGCACTCAGGTGTTCCTTGGTTATTGTCTAATGTAATTGCACATGTGCACCCAGGTGTCCTGGGTTATGGACTTAAGTATGAAGGATGAGTGGCTCTGATCCATGGCGCCCCCCACCCCCAGGATGCCCCCGGGAGGGCCATGGGGAGGCCGCTACTACTGCTGGAGGCTGTTGCTGTCAGGGCCCCTGGGACCCTCTGAGAGGCTGCCGCCAACGCTAGACCTGTAAGCTGATGGACCTGTAAGCTGCTGCTGCCATTGCTGTGGACTGAGCTCGTGTCATCTGCCAACGGCTCCCAGAATCTTTCCCAATTACCTAGGGTGGATCTGAGTGTGCGGGGTCTGGTGACCCAGTCTGTACAATGGGTTTGAAAGGTCTGAGCCCTAGCCCTGACAATAAGTTAGGATTGTACTGAGACATCATCTGAGAGCCAGGGTGTGGGGTATCCATGAGGCCAATTAAGCCTCCTCAGGTCTCTGGCCAGAGACTGCAAGTTACCAGGTCAGCAGAGGCAGTGGGAGTGAGTCGTGGGGCAATGGCTATTGGAAGACACAGAGAGATGGAGGAAAAGCTACTGGCATCTGAGATCCTTTGCCTCAGGCAACAACCTACTCCATAGGAAAGTCTTCATATTCTTCCACCTTATCCAGGTCAATATGAAAAGTGGGGAAAGGATTTCTTTCCTCATTTCTCCCATCTTTGGGCAAATACTGTACTGCTAGCACCACAGAGTGTGCCAAGGTTTGGGGTTCCAGCATAATTCAGCATGCATGGAGCACTATGCTGGGCTCAGCATTGCACCAAGCACTTTATGCTTCGATCACCAAGCAATCCCATGGGTTACTCTCTCGTAACCCACTTTACAAAAGGAAACCAACGCTTCAAAAGATGAGCAGCTTCAACAACACAGCACAGAGCCAGCACCAGAACCCAGAAGCCAACTCTACTGGCTCCTGACATCTCTGCTCAAGGAAATACATCTCCTGGAACCCATCTTGTGCACCTGGGCCCCTCTACAGATTTGGTCCAAGATGTTTTCTTTCTAGTGATTTCAGCCATGAGGGTCTTCATGCCTCTGGGGCTATGCTATCCTGGTCCTCTGAGCATCTTCTACCAGAGAGTTAGACAGGCCCAACAGGTAAGAAAGGATGCTGAGCAAAAATGTACACATCCCACTCAACCTGGAGGTGGTGGTGGCAGAAAGAAGGGGAAAGGTAGAAATTTTGGCATGGCTTTGACTGGAGGCAGGAGCTACCATATGTTTAATCCAGGGCTATTACTCAGCCTCCAAGTCTATCTACTCACAGACAACAGAAGTAGGTGCACAGGTAGGGGAGCAAAGAAGATTCCCAAAGATTCTGTGGAGGAAAACATGGCCTTGGGAATAATTATGAATACTTTTTTTATAGAACTTCATAGGCCATCTGGATGTTGACTACATGGCCCTGTGAAGTGAGTACCATTATCACTCCAACAGCACAGATGAGGAAACTCAACCTCAGAGTCTAAGTAACCTACCAAAGGGCACCAGGCCAATAAGCAGCAAGCCAGACAACCCCCGGTGCCTTGACCTGAAACCTCTGCTCCTTCTGCTGCAGCATCCAGTCTCTGGAAGCCCCCCACACGCACACCATCTACACCTCTATCACAGCACTTACATGTGGTGTCTGCACATAGCAGGTGATCAATGAACATTTGCTGAAAGGTGAATCTGAGGTACCTTCACTGCTCCTACAATGACATAGAGCACACCATCTACACCTCTATCACAGCACTTACATGTGGTGTCTGCACATAGCAGGTGCTCAATGAACATTTGCTGAAAGGTGAATCTGAGGTACCTTCACTGCTCCTACAATGACATAGAATGAATTTCAAAACTACTGGAAAGAAGAAACATAGCAAAGGCTTCTGGCTAAACACGGCAGACTGAACCCATGCCATTAA